TTGTTGCACTATTCTCTCTACCCTCCTCCCAATTTGTTCTGGTCCAAATGCCACAGTGCTTGTCAAAGCCAGTTCTGATTAATCTTTTTTGTCAGTGTATCCTTTGCCATTCCCTATCACTCCTCTCTGAGAGAGACTTCACCCTGAATCATAAGGAAAAGGGGATGGCGTATTCTCTTAGCTACTTCCTGCTGAAAAGGGACGCTGTGGGTTTCAGGGTGAAGATCTTCTCTCACTACTCTAAAGGGCCCCTTTGGCAGTAGGAAACACATAGACTATTATGGAGATTGATTTTGGAATTCAGATGCACTCTTATTGATTGTGCTTGGCTGTACATGTCCTTGAAGATGTATCATGTATCATGAAATATGTCTTATTTACATGAGGAAATGCATTGAACAGATGATGTTAACTAGAAATAACTTGATGGAAGTCTTTTTTTAAATACAAAATTTATATATATTGTATTTTATACATTCCTTCATTCCCATTGTGTTTTATATGATCATTCCTGTAATTTATGCTTTATAAAATTAATCACCTATGGTCTATGCCCTCTAATAATAAATCACTTTATATAAATATAAAATTGAAAAACTGTTTTCCCAAATTGCAAGAATAAGTTTTCTATGATCATATCTATTTGAGGCTACAAGATTTACTTTTAAACAGGTTATATGTTTTTTGTTTTGTCTTTTAAAATCCCCTGTATGTGAGAAGCTGCTTTGCCAACCCCACAGCACACAGCTTGAATTCGGAGCTTCTCTAACTGAGAAAGAGGGGAGTCTCCTCCATTGTGGTTTACTGCTTCTGAGAACCCCTGGGAGGGTCAGCTATGAGCTGGGTCTGACTCAACAGCAATGAGTTGAGGTGTGTGTAGGTTTGTTTGTTTTTCCTCTTCCTGATAGAGTTAGTGGAGGAGAGTCAATGCTCCTCAGCAACACGTCAATTCAAAGGCATAAGTTCTTTTGCTGCCATTCTTGAATCAGTTCTTTTGCTGCCATTCTTATTCGTTGTCTCTGTGAGTATGTATAGGGAACAAGGAAAATACCATGGCTGGTTTCAGGTGCACCTTTGTCTTCAAACTGATACCTTTGCTCATTAGCAAGGACTTGAAGACATCCTTTTTTTTT